CTCTAAGGAGTAGTTACTGCTCTCCAAACCTTCTTCATGGAAAACAGCAAAAGAATAACTTGAAGTATTGCTAGCACATCTTAGTGGATATGTGTCGTAATCTAGCCGCTCAGTGTAGTTATATAAGAAGGAAAAATAGACATGATCAGAACTAAGACTGAATGGAGTTCAATGAAAGATATTATTGGAGTTGGACACATTTCTTCATAGACTACAGCATTGACCACAAGAAAGATATTATTGGAGTACGATATATCTTTGATGATATGATTATCATCAGATATGGTAAGAAATGGGCTGTTGTTTTTGCAGTGATCTCAAAGTTTGGGTAGCCACAGAAGGAATCTTGTTCCTGAAAAATCCAAAAAGGATAGCTAATATAGGGGCCATTTCTGGCCATTTCTGCATGATCGAGGCATACAAGCCTCAAATTTAGACTCAAGGGACAGAGTTTCATAAGCTAAGGAACTCAAAAAGATGATACTATACACTTCTAAAGAAAATTTCTCAAGATAGGGAAGCTTTTTGGATCCATGCTGGTAGAAAGAAACGAAGGAAGCACAATAGAGAGTAGAGAAAAGAAGACAAAATGGAAGGAGGCATTGGGAGGAAAATTCTAGAGTTGGTATGATTTGGTTTTGGAGCCTTCAAATTCCCCATGATTTTGAAAACAAGAAGAAAAGGCAAAAGAAAAGTTTGAAGCGAAAGCAAAGACATGTTGATCATATATCATTTTTTTATTCTGTTTGAGGATATCATATTCAAAACAATGATGTATTTTTGTTCCATTGCATATGGGCCAACAAACAAGAATACAAGGTATGGGGTGGTGCCTAATAACAACAATTTGAAATGATTCTAATGAAAAGTGAGAACACGATAAAAATATTTTGCTCCCAGACGGATCATGACAGAAAAATGGAAAACTGAGTTGTTTAAACTCCAAAAATAATGTTGTGGATCCTTATATCAGACTCTAAAACCACCCATCCTGATCTAAATCAAAGATTTGCTCTAATGAGCATTGTAGGCAACAAATGAGTGTAATAAGCCTGAACAGAAACCATAATGACTACAAACAACCAAACGAGAAGTCAATGGCTTTGCAAATACATGTTTACCTAATTTGACAAGATGTTTCTATGGGAAGAAAACTCAATTACTTAAAATCAGAGGGATAAACTTATGTGCTCAATTTCATCATTAAGGAAAACCTTGGACTCCAAAATCAATCCTCTGTCATAATGGTGACATCAGAATGATATAATAATAAAAGAAATAGACCTCCTTTTTAGAATTTGTCAATTGGAAAATCCCAAACAAGGAAATCACCATACCTAACCATAAGGGCATAAGGGAAATAAATCAGAACATTGGGTGAAAACTTTTTATATGATAATATCATTGGACAAACTTGAAAGAGACTTTGTTGAACAGAAAGTGTGGAAAAAAAAAAAGGAAGAGATGTCTTTTGTCACTCCTTTCAATTCCATTCAAAATCAAAGTTACGAGAAAATGACAGTCCAAGGAATAACAGACAGACACAGATAGATATACCAAATAAATGA